ATCTAGCTCCCCACTCCCCTGCTCTGTAATACAATCTAGCTCCCCACTCCCCTGCTCTGTAATACAATCTAGCTCCCACTCCCCTGCCCTGTAATACAATCTAGCTCCCTACTTAGCTTAGACTGCCCTTTATACAGAGGCTCGTGCTAGCCTCCCACACCTCAGCTCCTGCCACCCTCTCCCTTGCTGCCTAGTCTCCAGTTACTCAGCCCCTTCTGATTTTCAAGTACCCCAAGCCTGGGTGGGTTGTGGTACGCCCTCTCGGGATCTCTGCATCCTCCATTACAGCGTGTGGATTAGGTACTCACTACCCCTCTTCTAATCCAGCTTCCTGCTAATGTGCATCCTGGGGGGCAATAGTTGATGGCTCAAGTGCCTGAGTCCCTGCCACTCAAGTAGGAGATTTGGATGGAATTCCAGGCCCCTGGCTTTGGCCTGGCCTAGCCCTAACTGATGCAGGCATTTGAGGAGAGAACCAGCAGATGGAGGAGCTCTGTCTCTGTTTCTCTGCCTTTACAAAAAAAGATTTATTTATTTATTTGAAATGCAGTTACAGAGAAAGACATACACAGAGAACATACAGAGAGAGAGAGAGAGAATGGAGCTAGCACCGTGGCTTACTTAGTTAATCCTCCACCTGTGGCACCGGCATCCCATATGGGCACTGGATTCTGTCCCGGTTGCTCCTCTTCCAGTCCAGCTCTCTGCTGTGGCCCGGGAGGGCAATGGAGGATGGCCCAAGTGCTTGGGCCTGCACCCGCATGGGAGACCAGGAAGAAGCACCTGACTCCTGGCTTCAGATCAGCACAGCACCAGCCATAGCAGCCATTTGGGGAGTGAACCAACGGAAGGAAGACCTTTCTCTCTGTCTCTCTCTCTCACTGTCTATAACTCTACCTGTCAAATGAAAAAAAAAGAAAAAAGAAAGAAAGAAAGAGAGATCCTCCATCTGCTGGTTCACCACCCAAATGGCTCCAGTGGCCAGGACGGGGCCAGGCCAAAGCCAGGAGCTTAGAACTCCATCCAAGTCTACCACATGGGTACAGGGGTCCAAGCAGGTCATCCTCTGCTGCGTTCTCAGGCATACCAGCAGGGAGCTAGACTGGAAGTGGAGCAGCCAGAACCTGAAGTGGGGCCCATATGGGATGCTGGTTTTGCAGGTGGTGGCTTAACTCACTGTGTCACAAGGCTGGTCCTTCTGCCCTTTTTTTCTTTTAATGTTTATTTATTGATTTTCTTCTACTTGAAAGGCAGTGAGAAAAAGGGAGAAAATAAAGACAGATTTTCCATTTGCTGGTTCACTTCACAAGAGCCCACAACAGCTAGGGTTGGGCAAGGCCAAAGCCAGGAGCCTGGAACTCCATCTGGATCTCCCACACCTGGGTCTGCAGGAACCAAGCACTTCAGCCGTCAGCTGCTGCTTCCCAGGATGCATCAGCAGGAAGCTGGATTGAAGTGGAGCAGTGGGACTTGAACCAGCACTCCAATATGAAATGCAGGTGTCCCAGCTCTGCCTTTCAAATCAATAAACCAGTAGTCAGATGCACCAAGCCTGCTCCTGCCTCCAGGCCTGTACACGTGCTCTTCCTTCTGTGAGGCAGTGGCAGTTCCTGCCTTCTTCTGTCTAGGATCCTAACATAAAGTCGTCTCCACAGAGATGCCCTCTGCTACCTAATCTAAACCACGCCCCCTTACCACTCCCGCTTTGTCTCCTTCACAACTTTCACCATC